GGCACGCGCGCTTGGCGAATGGCAGCCCCTGCTCTCTGCCAGCATCCACCCGGGGCCTATCCGTGACTCAGACCTGACATGCTGCAGCCACACTCATCGTCCTCCCCGTTCCCTGTCTCCTTGTTCCCTGTGCCGGGCTCCGCAGCCTCCCCCAGCCACGTGGCTCCCAGGAACGCTGTCCAGGGATCAGCGGGAGGGCTCTCCTGGGAGGGCTGCTGTTGCGCCTGCTCTGGGGCTCCGCGGCTCTGTGACCTGGTGCGCCTCTCTGTGCCTGTGGCCCTCTCTGCAAATGGGGCACTAGGGGTTACTGATGACAAGGAAGCCGCTCAGGGCTTGCTGTGGGGAGGGGCTCCTGAACAGCCCCGGGCTGGGGGCGGGGTGCTGCGGAAACGCAGGGTCAGAGCCAGCAGTTGTCAGGATGAGGATTAGGACGACGATCATCACTCAGTGACCGCTTGTGTGTGCTTCGCCAGGCGGCCCAAACAAACGACCCCAGAGGGAGCCTTCAACAGCAGAAGCTCATCTCTCACAGCTCTGGAGGCCAGAAGGCTGAAGTCACGGGTCGGCAGGGCCGCGCCCCCTCCGAAGGCTGCAGGGGCTCCTTCCTGTCCTCCGAAGGCTGCGGGGTAGGGGTGGGGGTCCTTCCTGTCTCTCCCAGCTCCTGGTGGGCCGAACGTCTGTGATGTTGAAGCCAGACCTAGGTTGGTGGTATTAGGAGTGGATCACTTGGCATGAGAGTGGCGCCCTTAGGAAAGAGATCCCCCCACTGACAGCTGGTGGGCCCTTTCCCGTGCCCTCTGGGAACCCTCACCAGACACCAAGTCAGCCGGCTCAGAGCGGTGGGAAATCCCTGTTACCACAGCCACGGAACGGGCTGAGACGCCAGCAGGTGCTGGCCTTGCCACTTGTGGACACAGTCACCTTGGCTTCCTCTGCACATCTCAGGCCTTCTCCCTGCAGGTTACACGTTGCTATTTCCACACCCCAGCTCTAAAATAAAATAACGTTTATTTATTTTATTCATGAAAGGAAAGCCAGTTGTGGAAAAATTGGAAACTACAGTACAAATAATGAAAATAATTTCCCCCATCGGCCTCCTGTGGTCTCACTGTGATTCGGCTGGAATCCTAACTCGACCTTGGCGGTGAGGAACTGAGGTCAGAGGGCTTGGATTTGGGCTCGATGACCCCATCCCATGCTGGCCGTGGTGGCGGCTGGGTCCACAGGCCCTTGGGCGGAAAGGCCCTGCAGGCGGCTGGCACGGACTCCGTGGCGGAGGCTTCCGGAGGGAGCAGCCTCTCCTTTTGAGGCCCCCTGTCCCCTCGCTGCGTCCTCACTGCCTGTGCCTCGTAAGGGGTGAACCACAGGCCTGGCCTTGCCTGAGGAGAGAGAAGGGCTGGGCGTTCCCTCAAGCTGCCTCTCCTGGCTCCCATGGCCTCAGTGCTGGAGAGAACCCGCCTTCTGGGCAGCGCTGGGGCTGGGAAATGATGATGGCTTTGCCTAAGGGAGACTCCTTAAGGGGCCCTGCAGGATTGGGCTGGCCCCAGAGCAACTGCGTCCCAGCGTGCGCACATGCAGGGAAAGAGAGAGCATGCTGTGCTGGCCCAGTCAACCCAAGCTCAACCTGTCTCCAGCGCCCGTTGTGAGCCGGGCCCACGTTGCTGCCCAGGGAGGCAGTGGTGAGGGAGGTATGGTGTGTGAGTCCGCTCGGGCGGCCCTAGCGAGGCACACAGGTGTGTGTGTGTGGGAGCTCGGCTGGGGGCTTAAACAACAGACACTTATCTCTCAAAGTCTGAGACAAGGGTTGACAGGGCTGGCTTCCGCTGAGCCCCCACTCCTCTGTGTGTCGGGGTCTGTCCTCCCCCGGTGCCCTCTGTGTGCATCTGTGCCCAGATCTCCTCTTCTTGTAAGACACACTCAGAGTGGCTCAGGGCTCACCCCATGAGCTGATGTTATCTTAACTGCCTTTTAAAGGCGCTGTCTCTACAGTACTGGGAGGCACCAGGTTGGGCTTGGACGTAAGTTTTGGGGAGAGAATTCAGCCCGTAACAAGGTGACTCACTCCCACCGGCCCTGGCTCCTGCCTGAGGCCGTGTTCCACAGCGCCGTGTTCTGGCAGGGCACCAGCCCTAGCTCCCAGGAATCTGGGGACCCCTGACCCTCATGTTCCCCTGTGGCAGGGCGGGGAGTCCCAGGGTGGGGGCTAGGAAGACCTGCCTGAGGACTCAGGGAGACTGGAACCCCAGCACCTTGCTGGGCCCCTTTTGGTTACCAATAGAACACAGTCCCCTCCCAATTCAGAGTGACTATGTTATCTGTCCCTTAGACTACGGTGAAAGCCCTTGGACCGAGATTTTTAAACCTCCCTCATGGCCACAGTGCAGGAGCTGTGGGCAGAGCACAGCCTTGTCCGGGCACTGCCCGGTGTCTCCCGGCTCAGGGGCATCCAGCCCCAGGCACTGCCTCTAGAGTGGAATGAGGCGTGGCTTCCCGTGGGATGGACTAGGGTGTGACATGCTTTCCTGTTCCAGAGGCCACCTGGGAGCCGATGGTGTCCACTGATGGACATTTTCCTGGGCTGAAGTATTTCAGATGCCCAGTGTTCTCCCAGCCCTCACAGCGGTCAGTTCTGCTTCACGGGTTTCCCACGTGCTTTGGCTAAGACGTCAGCAGGCAAAGACGCTTGGGTTGGCTTTAGACATTACGAATAAAGGAAGCTGCGAGAGGCGGCCAAAGTCTGAGACATGACAGGTGGCACAGGACGGCTGCGCACGGGCCGGCACTCCCTTTGCAAACTTTCTGTTGTTTTTGGCGAGATGCTTGCTGTGTGCTGGGAGCTCACGGTGGAAAGTGCCGGGCATTGCTGCTGCTGTCTCCTGACGTGCGTGCGGCTTAACCGCCAACATCTTTACCCTTCATGCTGACTTAATACTGACTGTTGGGCAGAGAGTTCACTTGGAAACACACCGTCCTGGGAGCAGATGGTGCCGCCCACCCCAGAGGGGCGTCGTGTTCAGTGGGTTGTGCTCATGGGGGTGGGCCCCTGTGTCTGCACACTCACTCCCTATGCTGGGTGTACCCCCAGGCCTGGGTGCTGCGTTCCCCACACCTGCCTCTGCTGCTGGACCCAGAGCTCTCTGGGGCCGTGGGCACATCTCTCTTGTCCTGAGTCTCCGCTCCCTCATGTAGCCCATGATTCAGCTCACCCGTGTGGCTGCCTCCCGGTGTAGGTAGGCTCTGGGTGCACGGGCTGACCAAGGTGGACACGGCCCCCAACTGTGGGGCCTCAGGGACTGCTGTGCGTGACAGGAGGGTGGGTTGGTGGGCTTTCTGGGGGTCCCGTGCATGGAGACCAGGCTGGCTGCATACGAACCGGGACTAACAGTAGAGGCCGTCTAGACACCTCCCCTAATGGACCTCAGTCATTTGATTTAATTGTTCCAGGATGCAGTACAGCCTAGAACCAGGGGAGTTGTGCTGACATGTAAGAGTGTGTACGTGTCCGTGTGTGTGTGTGATTGCGTGTTTATGATAGTAAAATTCAAGGAAGTGTTGTATGGAGTTTGATGAGGGGCGCAGTTTGGTGAGGTGGGCATTCCAAGTGCTGTAGCAGATGAAGGTGCTGTTCATAGAGCCTTGAGACGGAGTCTCGCTCTGTCACCCAGGCTGGAGTGCAGTGGCCGGATCTCAGCTCACTGCAAGCTCCGCCTCCCGGGTTCACGCCATTCTCCTGCCTCAGCCTCCCGAGTAGCTGGGACTACAGGCGCCTGCCACCTCGCCCGGCTAAGTTTTTGTATTTTTAGTAGAGACGGGGTTTCACCGTGTTAGCCAGGATGGTCTCGATCTCCTGACCTCGTGATCTGCCCGTCTCGGCCTCCCAAAGTGCTGGGATTACAGGCGTGAGCCACCGCGCCCGGCCGTATAGAGCCTTGTTGTGGATGAGGAGAGCAGGTAATAATCCCTCACAGAGGCTGGCAGGAAGGTCGAGGGCATCAATATCCACAAGCCTACGTTTTGCTTCTATTTTTGCCAACGTTGCCGTATCTATTGACTTCAGTAGGATTCAAACGAAAAACAAAAGCAGAAACAAGAAGGGGTGTAGAAATCAAGGTCCCTATACGTATTGAGCTGGAGTCAAGATGAGATGGAAAATTTTACAGGTGAAAAATGAATTATTTGAAGGTGGGAATATTCTGGAATTCACTAAGAGGAAACAAATGCTCCGAGGAAAGTGACCCAACACAGAAACGAAATGTTGACCAAGCTCCGACCACGCCGATGGCCTTTACAGACGAGCTCTGTAGGGCGAAGCGCGTCGGGAGGTGGTTCAGTCTCTAGAGTGCAGCAGAGATGGAGCTCACAGCCCAGGGGACTTTTCCTTGCTTTTCATAAATCGGGTCTCCAGGAGTCCACCGCGTGCAGGCAGTCTCTGAGAGCTCAGGGGTGCGACTGTCCCAGCAACAACAGGAGCCTGGCTGTGACCAAGCCGGGGGCTGGGTCCCCCGTGTGGACACAGTGCCACCCAGAACGTCCCCTGTGCTCGTTACCGGAACAAAGGCCGGAGGGAGGGCCATCTCTCCTCCCGAGACAGAGACCCTCAGACGTGCTGAATACATGTCTCTTTTCCTTATCTGAGGATTTAAATGTGAAGTCACCAGTCTTCCTGCACAGGAGCACGCAGCGTGTGTCGTCCCCGTGGTCATGGGTGCGTTTGCTCCGACACACGTCCTACAGTCTGGCCACCTGCCTCAGTGCCCAGATGTCCCACACACAGCACTGACATCCCCCTCTGCTCAGAAACACAGGACCCGGGCACGTCCTTGCGCTCAGGGCACCGTTCTGACATTTAATGCTGAATTTACAGGGACGTAGGCACCGTATCACACCGGTCAATTGCTCTGAGATACATCTGGGGGAAAAGCACAGTGTCCTTCGTCTCCACGAGAGAACTTACCGGAAGCAGCGTACACAACTCTAGCAAAGAAGAAGTACAGTACCCATTTCCGTATAAGAATATATTATTTAAAAGATAGTTTAAAAATAAAATTCTGTACAGCATCATGAATTCCCTTTTTTTTTTTTTTTGTATCAGTGAACAAAATGTTTCTTAGAAAACATGGTCTTGTGGTGCCAGGTGCTCAGGGCAGCTCTTCCCGCACAAGGATCCCGTGCAGCTCTGCCAGCCCGTCCGGAACCGCAGCCATGCCCCTCAGTTTCCTCAGGCACAGTCTCCTGGAAGAAGGGAAAGATGACTGATTTGTGTTTTTTAGGAATAGGGCGCGGTCGCTCACGCCTGGAATCCCAGCGCTTTGGGAGACCAAGGCGGGTGGATCACGAGGTCAGGAGTTTGAGCCCAGCCTGACCAACATGGTGAAACCGTGTCTCTACTAAAAATACAAAACTTAGCCAGGTGTGGTGGCACATGCCTGTAATCCCAGCTACCTAGGAGGCTGAGGCAGGAGAATCGCTTGAACCCGGGAGGTCGAGGTTACAGTGAACTGAAATCGCACCACTGCACTTCAGCCTGGGCAACAGAGTGAGACTCTATCTCAAAAAACAAGATGAAAAAAAGCACCAGCAGTCGCAGAAACGTAACAGGATTATACACAGCCTTTTTTTTTTTTTTTTTTTTTTTTTTTTTTGAGACAGAGTCTCGCCCTGTCACCCAGGCTGGAGTGCAATGGCACGATCTCGGCTCACTGCAACCACCGCCTCCTGGGTTCAGGCAATTCTCCTGCCTCTGGCTCCCAGGTAGCTGGGATTACAGGCACGCGCCACTACGGCTGGCTAATTTTTGTGTTTTTAGTAGAGATGGGGTTTCACCATGTTGGCCAGGCTGGTTTAAAACTCCTGACCTCAAGTGATCTGCCTGCCTCAGCCTCCCAAAGTGCTGGGATTACAGGCGTGAACCACCGCACCCGGCCGACACACAGCCCATTTTAAAAGAAAGAGGCCATCAGATATATTGCTGAATACATTTAGGCAAAATAAAACAATATTGATCCCTTTTCTGAGCCACTGAAAAATATGAACTGACTTAAAAAATTAAATACCAACATTGACTGAGCCCTTCACAGGGACCAGACCCGCACTTTGACTGTTTAGTCACTAAAACAGCAGTGACAATGGTATTATTACCTCTGGTTTAGAGACTGGGGCTCTGAGGTTCAGAGAGGCTGAGACACTTGTGCACGTCTCTCAGCTTGTAATTTGCAAGCCTGGACTCAAAACCAGGTGTGTTGGACGCCAAAGCCTGTTGCTGCCCCACTTATAAGTCATGTCCCGTTTGTCCTGCCCTGAGCCTTACATGCTTGATGCACTCTCTCTTGAATTATCTGTTAGACATGTACAGTGTGACCTTATTATGAGGTGAACAAATGGCTGCTCTGCATTCCCCGTGAGCTGAATAACTATATCAACAAGTGCAGAGAGAAACTCTCAAAGCCACAGAGAGCCAACACGTGATTTGTGAAGTTTTCAGTACTTCAATTGCACTTTTAAAAAGTCCTTACTCTTATAAGTGATGCATATGCTAATTATTGATGTTTTCCTATTAACTAAACCATGTTCCCCTTCTTTAAGAGCCTCATTCTTTTTTTGTTTTTCTTTTGAGATGGAGTCTTGCTGTTGCCCAGGCTGGAGTGCAGTAGCGCAATCTCGGCTCACTGCAAGCTTCGCCTCCCAGGTTCGAGTGACTCTCCTGCCTCAGTCTCCCAAGTAGCTGGGACTACAGGTATGTGCCATCACACCTGGGTAATTTTTGTATTTTTAGTAGAGATGGGGTTTCAGCATGTTGGCCAAGCTGGGTCTCGAACTCCTGACCTCAAGTGATCTGCCCACCTCGGCCTCCCAAAGTACTGAGATTACAGGCATGAGCCACCAGGCTTAAGAGCCTAATTCTAATGATTAGATGCAAGGAATAAAATTTCCATTCATTTGGCCAGGCGCAGTGGCTCACACCTGTAATCCTAGCACTTTGGGAGGCAGAGGCAGGTGAGTCACTTGAGGCCAGGAGTTCAAGACCAGCCTGGCCAACATGGTGAAACCCTGTCTCTACTAAAAACACAAAAACTAGCCAGGTGTGGTGGCGCACGCCTATAATCCCAGCTACTCAGGGGGCCGAGGCAGGAGAATTGCTTGAACCCGGGAGGTGGAGGTTTCAGTGAGCCGAGATCGCACCATTGCACTCTAGCCTGGGCAACAACAGCGAGAATTTGTCTCAAAAAGAAAAAGAAAAAATCCGTTCATTTAAAGGTATTCCAAAATTCAGATTTTCTCGCCTTCCTCTTCCTTCTGTCCTTTGTCGGAATCACGGTATGGACTGACGCCACGTCAGCAGAGACAGCGTTACCTTCACTGTGTTTCACATCTCTGCTTCTCTCTCTGGACTTCTCGGTGGCTCCAGACGTCAAGCTGTCAGTCTTCTTCTGTAACTGGAACAAAGTGCAGAGAAGGCCAAGTCAGGGAGCAGGAGACAGCAGGCGAGTGTCTGCCTGTCTTCCAGCAGCTTCTGTCACCTGGAGGTGCTGCAGTGTGAAAGCCTGTGGTCTCCAGCCCCTGTGAGCCCAGTGCTCCTGACACGGGTTTTTCAGAGGCACCTCTGTGTACCCTTACCCGGTACCCTTGGTGCCTCATCCGGGGCCTGGACAGTGAGCTCACCCAGCCGCAGCCACCACAGCCGCAGGGACTGGTGGTGTGTGCAGAGCCTGTGACTTGGGCCTTTTCACCTCTTTGGTGTGACTGTCCTTTTTGTGGGGGCTGAGAGGGGGAAGGCAGAGGCCTTGAAGAACCCTAGTGTCCCCTACTGGGCAGCAGGGCTCGGGACTAGAGACTCAAGGCCATCAGGGCTATGGCTCTCAGAGGGCCACGAGAAAGGCAGAAGCCCCCTCAGCTCTCCTGTGGGGCTCTGGAGTAGGAGAAGCCGTCTTGCTACATCTGTCTCTCTGCGTAAGTGCTCTCAGCCTTGCAGAGGTTTGGAGACCTTTCTGCGACTTTCCATCAGCTGGAGAAGTCAGGGCAGCTGGTCTGGATTTTCAGTCAATTTCTAAGCAATTGCTGGGCATCTACCATGTGCCTGGCCTGGCACCCCAGGCGGGCGTGGGCATGGGGCCGTCAGTCGAGGGAGATGAGACCAACACAAAGCTACGCCTGGACAATGGCTCAGTGCTCAAAAGGGCATCATGGGCCACATGGGCTTCAGGAGCGCCCAGGCAGAAAAGACGGCGTGGCGGGCACAGTAACTAGGGGAGCCCTGACTGATGGGCCTTGGAGGGTGCTTCAATGGTACAAAGGGCACTGTGGCGAGGGGAGGTGGCAGGGGCAACACCAGCCAAGGCCAGGAGGCGTCAAACTCTGCAGGAGTAGTGGGGCTGTTCTAGCTGCACGGGGGCGCTGCGGGGAGGAGGCAGGAGGGCGGGGCAGAGGCCACACCATGGGCAGCTGGACAGCAGACAGCCGGGGGAATCTGTGGAAAGACTGCGTGGGCCCTGAGCCTGTGACCCTGACCCCTTCCTCCAAAACGATGTCAATCCAACAGCAACCGAAAGCCAGCCCCAGGCTCCCTGTCCCCTGAGAGGTGCTGGTGTGTGTTCTGGGCCCGGAAGCTGGCAGGTGGGTGGTCGCTTTGCCCCTGTGCCAGGGGAGGGCCCCTTTCTAGCCCATGGCCTGCTCTGAACAAGTCAGTCCTGGGGCCAGGCCAGGCGCTTTACACAAAGGGGTCCCAGATGCTCTAACAGTGGCTGATACGCCCAAGGACACCTGGGTGCCCACAGATATGGGTGACAGTTGTGATTTTTGTGAAGGGCACGGCCAGTAAACTCCCTTGAAGGTTCTGAGCCCTGATGCGTTCTTGGCGAATGCAGTTTTGGTTTCCCGTATCACATTCCCTAATTTCACGGAGCCAGGCTTTCTGATGGAAGGGACACGTGCGCCTGTCCATGGGGTCGCCTTCAGGGGTGCCCTGCTTGGCACGTCCAAGATTCTGGAGTCAGGAGTGCGGAGGGCGCTGTGCCTGCTTGCCACAGGGAAGGAAGGTTCTTCTCGGTGCGTTTTACCTCTTTCATGGCGTCGTCTATCCGCTTTAGTTCCTCGTAGCGATCTCGGGATTCCCAAAGCGGCTGCAGCATGATCTCCTCAACCACAGGGAAGAGCTGGGAGAGAAAAACGGATTCATTCAGAGTCCCCTGTTCTTAAGGCAGTGGGAAACGTTGGAGAAAAACAGGTGTCAGGTGCACTGTGCAGAAGCATGTGGGCCAGTCCCAGCTCCTGGACACCCTCCTGCCAGCTCTGCTGCCCCCACCCGCTGTGGCTCTGTCTCTGGCCCTCATCACCCTCCATGAGGTCCTACAGAAAGTCCCCCCCCCGGCCTCCTGTGTCCCCCGTGCCCGTGAGATGAGGGTTGGGGACAGGTTCTGAGGTTCTAACAAAGACAAGGGGCAGGGGAAAGGAGCCGACAGCCTCCCGGCTGAGGGTCCTGGGAGTGGGAAGTGGGTGGGGGCGGCTCCAGATGCCCTGGAGCAGAAGGATCCACAGCACTTGGGAGCCCAGGAAGGTCGGAGGATGCAAGGCTGTGAGCCCAGACCCCCGGGGGAAACAAGAGATGGGCCTGTTTTGCACATGCTGGGGGTGCCTTGAGGTGGGGCCTTGGCAGGGGCCACAGGCAGCTCAGGGGCCCTGGGGGGAGCTGGGCAGGAACGAGCTGTGTGCAGGGAGCAAGGCCTCGGTGGCTGGGTGCGGTGAGACTGGCAGCTGGATGGGGGCTTCACAGCTCGAGGGCACAGAGCTCAGTGGTTCCTCCACAGGTGAGGACTCGGTGGAACTGGGACACAGAGAGGGGACAGGAGAGTCAACAGCTGGTGCTGCCTCCAGGGAGCTGAAGGCCAGCAGTGATGCGGGAGGGCAATGAGGGGCCCCCCCAGGCCCCAGCGAGGCAAGACAGGGAGTGCAGCACACAGTGGGAGATGCTGGGGTCACGGGCCAGGCTGTGGGGAGCAGGCTCTGGATGGAGCAGGGACAGCGGTCACCAGGACAGCCGGGGAAGAGGCTGCTCAGGATGTGCAGGTGTGCCTGTGTG